ACTTTGTTATGAGAAGATGTAGGTAAGTTATTTGCATAAATAACTCATTCCTACAAAGATGAATAGCATCTTTAGAAACTTTGTTCAGGGCCCCGGTTAGGATTAACTGGACCCTGAGCCGGCGCCGCTTGTCCTTCAACATTACCTCCAAAACCCTGATTATTGTACGAACAGACGGTTCTTGGGCAACTCCTCCACAAATGTCCATATTGCCCACAACCATGACATGGCCCTATAGACTGGGGGGGGGGTCTTTGGTGATAATTTCCACGCCCTCTGTATCCACGGCCACGCCCTCTGTTGGTCTGGAACTTGGATGATCTCCAAGGAGGGTATCCCTCCATCTGCTGTTGCACTGGTACGCCCATCATCGGACATAAGGGTTGTTGAGTCTGGGGTTGAGGACTTTGTTGAACAACAGCTTGCATCTTGTCTTTTTTCTTTCCCTCCATCAGGTGYAYTTGTGTGAGTTTTCTGATCGTCTCCTGTTCTTGCCTTTGCTGCTCCATTTCCTTTCTTCTTTGTAGATCGACTTGATATGCCACATGATCAGTGTAGACAGCTCTATTCAAACTACATAGTCCAACCACCTCTGCCAACTTTTTTCTAACAGGTAAAGGCAGACCCTCTTGTATTTTTGTTCGAAGTATTGACTGTTCCAGTCTGTTTACATCTGGGTCATTACCTGTTACACTCCTCCACACCATATGTGCTCTGGTCACATATGCTCTAGGATTTTCTTTGTCTCCCAGCGGGTCAATAAAAATATTAYCTGGATGGATATTMGTTGGGAACATAGCTCTCAAAGCTCCCCAAATCCTAGCCCTGTAGGCGAGGAAAAGATCTGCATCATAGACAGTTGTGCCAATCTGTTTCTGTAAGCCTGCTTTCTGCCACAGTTCCTCCATCATAGGAACTCCCAAAAGATTAGCAATCAAACGTTTCACATCTCCTAGAGCTGGCTGTGTGCCCGTCAAAACTTCTTCTAGTTTAGTGATCCAAGGCTGTGCACCATCTTGCAAAAGAGGCAATTTTTCCATTATGTCTGACAAATCAGATTGAAGCCATGGTTTATAGTCAAGAGTCTGACCTCTGACTAACACAGGTGCCATCTTCTTCACTTTTCTTTCTCTGAGATTGTATCGACTGCTCCTTCTAGGAACTGTTTGTTCTTTTAAATCTTGTTCTCTAATCTTCAAGTTTTGCAACTGTTCTGTCAAATATTGTTGTTGTTCGTCAGTTACAGCATTCTTAATTTCTTCGCGGCACTTACTTTTCATTTTCTTAATTTCCTTCAACATCTTTCTTGGCTTTCTGACTTCAAAAGACCCTGCATCAGAATCTTGATCTTCCGCTGTCTCATCACTACTGTCAGGACTTTCTTCACTTGAACTGCTTGAGTCTTCACGTTTCTTGAAACCTCTTTTACCTCGTGCCTCAAGTTTCCCCAACATTYCTTTGATCTTTGCTCCATAACCTCCTCTCTTTGTTTCTTCTTCACTGAAAGAGTCAGACGTTGTCACGCCACATTTCTGAGGTTTAGATTTCTTCTTAGTGTGTGGTGTTAGCACAATGGTGGTCCTTGTGTCACCTGTTTCCACCACGTGCTGCTGATCATCTTCCACTGAGTAGCATCCTTGTTGATCAATGATGGGCAACTGAGGATAAATAGTTCTTACTTCTTTATAAGATGGTGGTTGAATGCTTATCTTTGACTCTGGAGATGGTTCCTCAGTTCCCAACGTCTTCTCATCAGTCTTCTGATCTTTGTGTAGACCATTTTCTTTAGAAGGTGTTAATGTCTTTCCCTTAACACTTCCATCAGTCTCTCCCCCCTTCCATGCCATTATCCTAGCTTTGCCTTCATCATGAAAAATTTGTAACATCGCTAACTCCCTTTCACGTTTCGTCTTCCTTTTTATGCCCCTTTTTCCTGTTTTCTGATGTGCTTTGTGTGTGTTTATTAAAGTTCTTATAGTTTTGATGATGGACAAATTAAATGTCCCTTTTTCTGGCCAAGGTTGATCAATGTACCTCCACCTCTTGTTCCATTTTTTAGAAACCTGTTCAATATTACAAATTAAAGGGTTATGTTTCCTAATATAGTCAACTGGTGTAATGGTTTGCGTCCCTTGCATTGTTCTTTGTCAAAAAACAAACACAGAATAAAATAAAATAAAATAAAAACTATATTAAAAACTACAAACCAACTCTGTTCTTTCTTTCTTTCAATAAAGTAATTTTTTTAATTTGAGTTTGAATTTAATTTTGTATTTATATACCTCCCTATGACCGTGAAAATTAACTTTGAAACCGTCACCGAAGATAACAAGTCACTACAAAGCGCAAACAGTCAATGCTCAGTAGCTGTCACTCAAAAAATGACAAAGAATTAAAATAATGCTTTTTTCTTTTTTTTTTTTTTAGTTTGTGCATAAAGCAGAATTACTCGCCTGGTCAAAAAGAAAAGGAGCAGCCCCCAGGGTCGTTCCTGCAGCAGGAAGTTGTCCCTCTCACCAGCAGGAGAAGCCCCGAACAAAGAACCACAGAGAGAGAGAGAAAAAAAAAGTTAATGAAAGCCAGATGCCCTCACAGCAGCAGCAAAACCCCCACTGCTGGCTGCACAGCCATAAATCACTCCCAGACAAGACAAAGAAGCTCCAGCAAGAAAAAAAATTGTAAAGCACCCCCACAATTTGGTTTCAGCTCAAACCGAGCCAAGTCAATACACAAAAAATAACAGAAAAAACAACAAAACCCCACATTTAACATCAAACACACATTTAGGACAGACAAACACACAGGCATGCACTCCCTTGCTTGAACAGAACTTTAAAAAACAACAAAAAAAACTATGACATGTCCCCTTTAAACTTCCAGTATTTAGACGAAGCTTCCAACACCCAACATTTCCATTACCTCCCCGGCCTATTTCATCGGGATTAAACAGATCTTAGGCCTCAAAAGACTCTGCAACCGGGTACTCTTATCCGGGCAAGATAACAAAATGATCAGGCTGAACGGCCTCGAACAACCGCGCCCTTCCAGTAGCTAACGGGCGGCACAGACGTCTCTGTAGCCGACCCGTTTCACCAGCCACGGAGTTGCGGCTAACACACAAACCAGAGATGCATCTCCTAACTTTTACTTCAACAGTAAGCGTACTTACACATAAACCGCCAGAGGACACACACTTAATCCCTCTGCGGCGGGTGACACGTCGAAAAAAACGAATAAATTAGCAAGGTTTGAACACACAAACACAGAACTCCAGACAATAGACGGAGCCCAAACGCCGCGCCCAGCCGACAAATCTCAAAGGAACAGCTCCTGAGTCTCTCATGCATAAAATTAAATAAAACAGAAGTAAATACGCCCGATAAAAACCCCTGTTAATTTAATATTAACCTTAAGACTATACAGGCCTGTGTCGTGACGCCATTAATGTCGGGTTCGGTTTGGTTCGGTTCTTCTGAGCTTGTCAGAGGCTGCTGTTCTCCTCCGTCTGCCCTCGTCTGCTGTTGCTCTCCTGCTGGGTTGCTGGAAGTTGCTGCATGTTAAAAATCCCTCTTTGGCAAACACATGAATGGAAAAAATGACGATATCTTCGTTTCTGGACAAGGTTTTATTGCGAGAGAAGGGGGACAGCTGGTCACAGTGAGATGGAAAGTTGGACTGAACAAAGAGTGCACTCACGCTTGGAGGCGCGTTCACAGTTCTTAAAGAGACAGTACATGAAATTCACCACACGGGCATAATATAACTGCCCATTTGCCACCATGAAATTGTAAAGTTGTCCCCCCACATGTTTCAGTGCAGCCTTTTAAAGAAGGCTCACCATAGGATTTCGGAAAACGCTCATAAAATGGCCTAAGAGATATTTTCACTACCTAAAGGGCCCAATTTATTGTATGGCCTTAAACCCCCACAGACTAATATGGTTAAACGCTTTTAAACCGTCTTTTACCGTCCACATTAAACCACGTTTGTTTTGACTACTCCGAATGACAAGCTATCTTTGCTACACTGGTTTGCTACACTAGCTATGCTTAGCATAGCAAAGCTAACACTTAGCGGGGCTGTTTCAACGTCCCAACACACAGGCAATCAAGCAGAAACACCGATCGCCGCACAGTCCTGTTATGTTAACAAGATAGAAAGCAAAAAAGATTTTGCTCACCTGTTTTCTGGCGCCTAGGACGTACGTCGATACGGCGCCTCCGCCGAAAGGCCCAGTTAGCCGAAGCCCCAACACAGATCCGCTTCCTAGTCGACTTTCAGTCAAACGTCGGGTGTCACCAAAACTGCAAGAAAATACGTGTTCAATAGACTAAAGTCAATATGAAAACCACCATTGTTAAATAAACTGATTTGTAGAAGGAATAAAACCATACAACACCAGAATTCTGGAACCAAGTGAGGTTTTATTGCCACCGGAGCTGACAAGGAAACCACACTGCCAAAAATCCAGGAAGTACATCAATTTATACGTGATTCTTCAACGCCTGCGTTCGCCCCCTACTGACCTACGGCTGAATCACAGGCATTCATGCAAAAGTCTCATCTACAGTTATTATAACATTTTAGTTATGTCAATCAAAACCTAATAGATTAAACATTGTCAACATTTTAAAAGGAAAACCTAACAAAATAGTGTTCTGCTTTTAACATCAGTGCTAACCTCTAATAACTATAAATTTCTTCAGTTTAAAATTGATGAAACATTAATGTTTTACTTGTCTGAATCATATTTGCAAATGCTTTGAATTTGAAGTTATTCATTCTTTCAGTTATGTTTTTAAAGAAGTTCTCATCAGATTATTAAATGGGTCATGAAATATTTTGTTTCTGAACCACACAGAAACAATAGTCTTTGTTTAGTTTCAGGAGGCACGGTAAGTTTCTGAAACTAACACTTTCCTTGATAACTTCTTTTCTAATGTCACCTCCGGGGTGGAACTTAGATTCTCTGAGCTCTTTAGAAACTAAGAGTTTCCACTCGGACGGAAGAAAGTGACAGACCGCTCATCAGTCACACTGACAGCTTGATTCTCCAGGGAATCAAGAGCTAAGCTGTGTCAGGTTCATCTCTTCTCGCCAAAGAGGAAACCTCACAGCCTGGATCAGATCAACGCCTGATCGATCCACTTAGAAAAACTTTCCTGCCGAAAGTTTTATTCTGAAATCGGGATCTAGGTTTGGCTTCACCTTCTTTCCTTTGGCTTGACGCAGACGCAAGTAAAGTCTGACCTACACGCCGAGGGTCCCTCTGTGTTGATGGTCCTAAGACAGATTTTCTAAGCAGAACCCAAAATACCTGGAAGGTGACTGACCTCATCTAAAGGTAAAAAACTGGCTGCGTTATGAACTTCACTGTCTGGCCAAACTCCGAGTAGAAAGCCTCGCCTATCTGGTTAAACCCCACATTTATTTAAATTAAAAGTAGGAAAAGCTACCATCTTACTTTCCTCCTTTTTCTTAAAATCTTCGTTGCGAACCTAAGTTAATTGCCTCAAATGTCTGGTATTAAACATCTAAGCTGACATTTGTGTTTCTATGTAAAGAGTCTGTAGTTGACAATTAAAAAGCTAAAAGCTTTGTTATTGTTGGTCTCAAAACGTTTATAGGAAATTAATTGTTCACAATTAAGTGTATATTAGTGATTTTGTATGATTTGTAAAATAAATGATTGCATCTATTTAGGGATCAAATCAACATTCACTGACTGTCACTGTTTGTGTCCATTCATTTTTGCACTGGAGGAATGCTTACCTAAGATAAAAGAGATCCCTTGCTAAATAACACCTGTCATAAGAGGTGTAGGTGTACCCCTACAACCAGAATGCTTTGCGTGTAAATAAAATGGCTCAGTTTGTGTTAAAATATACTTTTAAAATTTTACAAAAATAAACAGTCTACAGTATTTTTACAGTCTTTATTGTACAGTTAAAAAAAAATTTCAAATAAAGTCTAATGTTACAACTAATCATGGAGCCCTTTAAAGCTTTTGGTTGTGCTATTGGTGTGATGTTCTGTATTTTATTCTGTGTACAGGTAAAACTCTGAGTCCTCAGGTGATGTTCCATAACGCAGCCTCCAACATCATCTGTAAGGTTCTGTTTGGGACCCGTTATGAGTACAATGATGAGACCATTAAAAAAGTTGTTCAGTGGTTCACAGAGATGCTGAAAATATTTAACGGACCGTGGGCCTTGGTAAGTCTAAATAGGCCTGAAACAATTTTTGTCAACAGGCTCAATCACACCTGTTTATTACATTAGGCTCAATTGTCTTCTGTCTTCTCATTAACCATGCCCAATCACACCTGTTTCCTGTCCCATTAGGCTCAGTTGTTTCCATTCTTCTGATCAGGCCCAATCACACAGGCTCCTTACCCCATTAAGTTTAAATGTCTTGTCCTCTCAATCACTGTCCTTATCGTCCTTTCACATTGTCCAAAACATTAGCTAAGCATTGTTATGTGTTCCTATAGCACATCCACTTGCTTAAATTCTATTAAACCTAACATTTTACCCCTCACTCTACTCCAGTTTCCCCCACAGCCCAAAAATATGTACAATAGGTTGCTTTCTGGCCCAGGCCTCCCTTGAAAAAGAGATCTTCAATTTCAGTGGGATTTGCCTGCCTATATGATGGTAAAATGAAATAAAATAAACTTTGATCTAATCAGTAATAATTCATCTTTCAGCTGTACAACTCGGTTCCATATGTTTCGTACCTGCCACTGCCCTTTAAAAAGGCCTTTAAGAATATGGAGGTAATTTACACACAGCTTAGACACAAACTAACAACATCAAATATGCATGCTATTAATTAAAGATGTGTCATTTAGCTGTATCTCAACTTTTCAAATGGTTTGGTGAATGAGCACAAGAGGACCAGGACCGCTGGAGAACCTCGAGACTTTGTGGACTGCTACCTGGATGAACTGGATAAACAGGTGTGTGAACACAATATAAAACTTCAACATCATGATGCTGATGAATGTGAGACAGGTACAGAAAAAACTAAAACCAGGAAAACATCTGGATGCTGACTCAGCATTATCACAAATCTTACATTTTGTTTCTCTTACAATATTCTCTGTATTCTGTCCAGAAAGAAGATTCTTCATTTTCTGAGGAACAGCTCAGAAGGATCACTTTAGATCTTTATCTTGCTGGAACTGACAGCACCTCCAACACCCTCCTGACTGGGTTTCTGTACCTCATGAACCATCCTCAGGTCCAAGGTAACACTTCAGGACAAGTCTCTTCTTTCAGATCGAAACGAATTAAAAATTATTCATCATAACCACTTTAAGAGATTACAACACATTCGGGCTGCTCTGTAGTAAAGAAATTACACTGCATGGCCAAAACACAGTCGCCACCAAATAAAAGTCAAAACTCTTAGATTTGGTTGGGCCACCTTTAGTTTTGATTACGACACATTCTCTGTGGCGTTGTTTCAGTAAGCTTCTGCAACGTCACAAGATTAATTTCCATGCAGTGTTGCAATAATCCAACCGTCCATCCGTTTTCTGCCGCTTATCCGGAATCGGGTCGTGGGGGCAGCAGCCTAAGCAGAGAGACCCAGACTTCCCTCTCCCCAGCTACTTGGGCCAGCTCATCCGGGGGAATCCCAAGGCGTTCCCAGGCCAGCTGAGAAACATAGTCCCTCCAGCGTATCCTGGGTCTTCCTCTGGGCCTCCTCCTAGTGGGACATGCTTGGAACACCTCACCAGGGAGGCGTCCAGGAGGCATCTTAACCAGATGCCCGAGCAACCTCAACTGGCTCCTCTTGACGTGGAGGAGCAACGGCTCTACTCTGAGTCCCTCCCGGATGACCGCGCTTCTCACCCTATCTCTAAGGGAGAGCCCAGACACCCTGCGAAGGAAACTCATTTCGGCCGCTTGTATCTGCGTCACTACCCAAAGTTTGAGAACATAGATGAGATTAGAAACGTAGACTGACGGGTAAACCGAGAGTTTGCCTTCTGGCTCAGCTCCTGCTTCACCACAACAGACCAGTAAAGTGCCCACATCACTGCAGACGCAGCACCAATCCACCTGTGGATCTCCCACTCCATTCTTCCCTCATTTGTGAACAAGAGCCCAAGATACTTAAACTCCTCCACTTGGGGCAGGACCTCCTCCCTGAAAACGGAGGCGGCACGCTACCCGTTACCGGCTCAAGACTATGGTCTCGGATTTGGAGGCACTGATCCTCATCCCAGCCGCTTCACACTGAGCTGTGAACCGCTCCAGTGAGAGCTGGAGATCATGATCTGATGAAACATATAGGACCACATAATCCACAAAAAGCAGAGATGTGATCCTAAGGTCACCAAAAAGGATCCCCTCAAGAGCTTGGCTGCGCCTAGAAATTCAGTCCATAAAAGTTATGAACAGAATCTGTGACAAAGGGCAACCTTGGCGGAGTCCAACTCTCACCAGAAATGAGTTCGACTTTCTACCGGAAATGTGGACCAAGCACTGGTACTGGTCATACAGGGACCTGACAGCCTGTATCAATGGGCCTGGTGCCCCGTACTCCCGGAGTATCCCCCACAGGTTTCCCCGAGGGACATTGTCGAATGCCTTCTACAAGTCCACAAAACACATGTAGACTGCTTGGGCAAACTCCCATGCACCCTGCAGGACCCTGCTAAGGATGTAAAGCAGGTCCACTGTTCCACGGCCAGGACGAAAACGACACTGCTCTTCCTGAATATGAGATTCGACTATCCGACGGACCCTCCTCTCCAGGACCCTTGAATAGACCTTACCAGGGAGGCTCAGAAGTGTGATCCCCCTATAGTTGGAACACACTCTGTGGTCCCCCATTTTAAATAGGGGACCACCACCCCAGTCTGCCAATTCAGGGGAATTGCCCCCAATGTCCACGCAATATTGTAGAGTGGCATCAACCAATGCAAACCCACAACATCCAGAGCCTTAAAGAATTCTGGACGGATCTCATCCACCCCCGGCGCCCTGCCACCAAGGAGCTTTTTAACCAACCACCTCGGTGACCTCAACACCAGAGATTGGAGAGTCTGACCCAGGGTCCTCAAGCTCTGCTTCCTCATGGGAAGACATGTCGGTAGGATTGAGGAGGTCCTCGAAATAATCCGCCCACCGACCCACAACGTCCCAAGTTGAGGTCAGCAGCGCACCATCCCCACCATAAATAGTGTTGGTGGCGAATCGCGTTCCCCCTAAGACGCTGGATGGTGGGCCAGAATCGCCTCGAAACCATACGGAAGTCTTTTTGCATGGCCTCTCTGAACTTCTCTCATGCCCGAGTTTTTGCCTCAGCGACCACCTGAGCCGCAATCCCTTCAGACTGCCGATACCTATCGGCTGCTTCCAGAGTCCCACAGGCCAAACAGACCCGATAGGACTCCTTCTTCAGCCTGACAACATCCCTCACCGTTGGTGGACACCAGCGGGTTCGAGGGTTGCCGCCACGACAGGCACGAACAACCTTACAGCCACAGCTCCGGTAAGCCGCCTCGACAATGGAGGCACAGAACATGGCCCTCTCGGACTCAATGTCCCCCATCTCCCCCGGAATGTGTTCAAAGTTCCCCCAGAGGTGTGAGTTGAAGCTCCGTGTGATGGGAGACTCTGACAGATGTTCCCAGCAGACCCTTACTATATGTTTGGGTCTGCCAGGTTTGACCAGCATCCTCCCCCACCAACAGAGCCAACTCACCACCAGGTAGTGGTCAGGTGACAGCTCCTCCCATCTCTTCACCCGAGTGTCCAAAACATGTGGCCGCAGATCAGATGGAACGACAACAAAGTCGATCATCAAAGTACAGCCTAGGGTGTCAAGGGGGTCGTTCCTCCAAACCACGCTTCTCCAGGTCTCACTGTCATTACCCATGTGAGCGTTGATGTCCCCCAGCAGAATGAGGGAGTCCCCATTAGGAGCACTCTCTAGCAACCACTCCAAGGACCACAGAAAGGGTGGGTAATCTGAACTGCTGTTAGGTGCATAGGCACAAACAGCAGTCAGGACACGTCCCCCCATGCGTAGGCGGAGGGTGGCTACCCTCTCATTCAACGGGATGAACCCCAACATACAGGCACCGAGATGGGGGGCAATAAGTATGCCCAATCCTGCTCGGCACCTCTCAACATGGGCAACTCCAGAGTGGAAGAGTGTCCAAACCATCTCGAGGAGACTGGTTCCAGAGCCAGAGCGGTGCCTTGAGATGAGTCCAACTGTATCTAGTTGGAACCGCTCAACCTCACACACCAGCTCAGGTTCTTCCCCACCAGAGAGGTGACATTCCATGTCCCTAGAACCAGCTTCTGAAGTCGAGGATCGGACCGCCAAGGTCACCACTTTCGACCACTGCCCAACACACATTGCACCCGACCCATACGGCCCCTCCCACAGGTGGTGAGCCCATGGGAAGGGGGACTCATGTCTCCTATTCGGGCTGTGCCCGACCGGGTTCCATGGGTGGATTCCCGGTCACATCAACGTGCCCCACCTCCAGGCCTGGCTCCAGAGTGGGCCCCCGGTGACCTGCATCCGGGCGAGGGAACACTTAATCCATTTATGGTACTCATCATAGGGGTTGTTGGCCTGCACTTTGTCTGATCCCTCACCTAGGACCTGTTTGCCTTGGGTGACCCTACTGGGGGCATGAAGCCCCCGACAACATAGCTCCTAGGATCATTGGGACACTCAAACCTCTCCACCATGATAAGGTAGCAGCCCAATAATTGCACTAATTTTTCAACAAAATCTTGCATTGATGATGGTAGAGTCTGACCTTCTCCAGCACATCCCAAAGGTTCTCCATGTACTCTATGGAGCCAATCCATGTGTGAAAATGTCTCATGCTCCCTGAAACACTCTTTCACAAAAAGAGCCCGGTGAATCCTAGCATTGTCATCTTAGAATATGGCCGTGCCATCAGGGAAGAAACAATCTATTGATGGAATAACCTGGTCATTCAGTATATACAGGTAGTCAGCTGACCTCATTCTTGGAGCTCATTCTGTGGCTGAAGCTAGACCTGACCACCTGCAGCAACCCCACATCATAGAGCTTAGTTGAATCCAGGTGGAGATATTTTTTTGGCCGGCAGTGCATTTTGCAGGTAAAATGTGTAAAACTGTTTCTGCCCCATCAGATCGATGTCAGCAGGAGATCAATCGAGTTCTGGATGGGAGGGATTGGGCCAGTTTTGAGGACAGACACAACATGCCTTACGTGCAGGTGATGAGCATCATCACACACACCTTTTCTGTTAATCTGAATGGTTAATCTGAGAGGCATGTCTGAATGTGTTTCTATCAGATAAACTGCAACTTTTCTGAGATTTCTTTCTATATGATACCTAAAATTATTTATTCCAAGACAGATAGTTTGTAATATCTCTGTTGTAATCCAGGCTGTAATCCATGAAGTCCAGAGGGTTGCCAACACTGTTCCTCTCAGTGCCTTCCACTGCTCCACTAAAGACACAGAGCTGATGGGATATGACATTCCCAAGGTAAGAATCTTTACATTTACACAAGGATATTTTAAAATTAAATATTATCTTTATTGTCTTTTTTCAAACCTTTGGTTTCCCTTCAGGGAACATTAATCATCCAGAATATGGAGTCAGTGCTGAGGGAGGAGGGTCAGTGGAAGTTCCCTCACGAGTTCAGTCCTGAGAACTTCCTGAACGAGCAGGGAGAGTTTGTCAAACCAGAGGCCTTCATGCCTTTCTCTGCAGGTAAACCTGTGAAATATTTTACTTTCAGACCTGGACCACAGGGACAGAGTTTATTAGATCAGACAAGAACTTTGGTTCATTTTCTGGTATCTCAGGTCCTCGGATGTGTCTGGGAGAGGGTCTGGCTCGTATGGAGCTGTTCCTCATGACGGTGACCCTGCTGAGAAAGTTTAAGTTCATCTGGCCGGAGGATGCTGGAGAACCAGACTTCACTATGATTTTTGGGGTAACGTTGACTCCAAAACCTTACATGATGAAGGTCCAGCTGAGGTCTGAACAGTGAGGAGGTGCAGATGCTCTGCAGAAAATGATGAATAACTGATCAGTTAAATAAAAATCCGATCATTGGCCAATCCTTTGGACGCCATTGTATTTTTGGTGGATCTAAGTGTTAACAATTTTTTAGAAGCTTAAAGTTCATTCTAAACTTTGTCTCAGACACAGTTTTTCTCAAATTTATTTCCACTCTGTAGATCATTTAAGAAATGATTAATTTGGTCCTACAGGATTTGCCGTAGATGGTGTATACATGTAACGCCACTCCCTGGTGTACTTGGTCTGTATTAGCTGTTAGCTGTGGTTCCTATCACTAAAGATTCAAGTGAGAAGTTTCCTGGTTGTCTTCCTTTTATTACAATGCTACCATAAAGAAAGCATTTACACACACCAAAGATCCTCTGACTGTGTTCCATATTTTTCCCGATCATCTCACAGATATCCTGACTGATCTACAGTCTGAGAAACTAACAGAGAGATTTGGTTTGTGTGAATAAATTAAAACATCTTGAACTGTGAGACAGCAAAGAGATTGGTTTTCACTTGTGTAAAAATTGAAATTTTTACAGCACTTTATATCAGAGATATAACAAGTTAAAAACACTCATCAGTCCTGATCAAGTCAGAAAAATATATTATGGAGAAGAATAGCACAAAAAGTGGTACCACTCTGACTTCTGAGGCATCTTTAGAGAAAAAAAATTTTCCTAAAAAACACAAATACTGTCTGAAAGTAGATGAAAATGCCTACGGTTTAATGTATAGTTTGTATCAGTCTGCATTAAAGATAACAGAAGAGAAAGATTTAAAGAAAGAGATCCTTTTTGAGGTGGATAACAATAAGTGCATTCAAAATTATGGGAGACTTACAGCTCCTATACATTTGTTTAGGGCTGCAACTAATGAATATTTAAAACGTCAATTAATTAATATATTTTTTTATTTATCGATGAATCATCCCTCCATTATTCCATTATCTATACACGGTTTTTCCTTTCGGGGTCACGGGGCCCACAGGTGTCCATATCCAGCAGTCACAGTGCAAGGGGCAGGGCACACGCTGGACAGTCCATCACAGATCGATGAATCTGAAAACATACAAAAAAATCATTGTTATTTATTATTTATCACTTACTGTGGACAATCTCATTTCAGTTATCTTTGACCACGGACAATCTCATGTCAGTTATCTTTGACCTTAGACAGTCTCATGTCAGTTATCGCTGACCATGGATATTCTCATGTCAGTTATATCTGACAGTGGACAGTTTATTGTCAGTTATCTTTAACCGTGAAAAGCCTAATGTCAGCTATATTTGACTGTGGACAGTCTCATGCCAGTTACAGTATCTTTGACAGGACAGTCTCATGTCAGTTATCTCTGATCGTGGACAGTCTCATGTCAGACATCTCTGACAGTGGACAGTTTATTGTCAGTTATCTTTAACCATGAAAAGTCTAATGTCAGTTATCTCCGATTGTGGACAGTCTGTCAGTTACCTGTGTCTCTGACTGTGGACAGTCTCATGTCAGTTATCTCTGACCGTGGACAGTCTCATGTCAGTTACCTGTATCTCTAACAGTGGACAGTCTCATGTCAGTTATTTTTGACCGTGGACAGTCTCATGTCAGTTATCTCTGACTGAAGACAGTCTCATGTCACTTACCTGTATCTCTGACTGTGGAAAGTCTCATGTCAGTTATCTTTGACTGTGGACAGTCTCATGTCAGTTTTCTCTGATGGTGGACAGTCTCGTGTCACTTACCTTTGACGGTGGACAGTCTCATGTCAAATATGTCTGACCATGGACTCATGTCAGTTATCTTTGACTGTGGACAATCTCATGACAGTTATCTTTGACTGTGGACAGTCTCATGTCAGTTATCTTTGACTGTGGACAGTCTCATGTCAGTTATCTTTGACTGTGGACAGTCTCATGTCAGTTATCTTTGACTGTGGACAGTCTCGTCAATTATTTTTGACCGTAGACAGTCTTTTGTCAGTTATCTCTGATTGTGGACAGTCTAATATCCGTTATCTTTGAACGTGGACCGTCTCATGTCAGTTAACTCTTACTGTAGACAGTTTCATGTCAGTTATCTTTGACTGTGGACAGGCTCATGTCAGTTATCTTTGATCATGGACAGTCTCATGTCAGTTATCTTTGACCATGGACAGTCTTATGTCAGTTAACTTTGAGAGTGGACAGTCTCATGTCAGTTATCTNAGTTTAACCCCAAGAATTTTTGCAGGAAACAACAGCTTTTTATTTTCTTAACTTTAATTTTAATTAAAGAAATTTTTCTGAGCAAGAAAAATGCTACTTTTCGCCTAATTTTGCTAAATTCTCCGTTTTTATGAGCAAATAAAACAATTTCACCCCTTGAGAGTGTAATTACAGCGAAAAACCAGCAGATAGCGACTCTGTCACACACAAACACAGCTTTGAAAAGAACCCGTGACGTTTCACCCCCTCCCAGGGGAGAAYTCACGTTCAGGTTACGTATGACGTCGCTGACGTTGTGCGTCTGACACAAAATGGCGGTTTCACTCTGACCCAAAGTCAGCAGCTTCTTCACCTACAGAACTCAAAACTCCGTCTTACGCTTCCTAGCGCAACTTTATTTAGCTTCACGCACCCCAGAGCAGGGCGAACGATTTATAAGCTAAAATCCGTGACACTCACGGATACAGGGCAAGACTTTCTGCGCGCGGCAGGTTCAAGACTGAACAAACAGCAGCTTCCCTGACTAGCGTTTAGCACGCTCCACACCCTCAGTGTGGTCAGACTGACTCGTCTGAATTAACGCCTCGGCACAAACCTTAAGTTTCTTAGCCTCCAACGGCGCTAGAAACTCCTTCACGTTGCGTTTATTTCTATAAACCGTGATGACAGCTTACCAAGTTGCGATCTTAGAGCTTGTCGCGGAGTTAAACTGGTTACACTTATGCGTAATTACGCACGTAGACCAGACCAGATTTATGGTTCTAAAACCTACGGTATGAACACACTGGATTTACAAAGGATCCTTTTTCACTCATTCATCCACAGATGTGAGCACAATACATGCAATAAGTCGCTTCCTCAAGCGAAACACGGTTGCTGCTTTCTTAGAGTCTGACGGCGCAGCACTCTCCAGCAGAACCCTCCTGTCTTGCGCGGCGGCAAGACAGAACCACAGAACCGAACCTCAGCGGGTCCAGAACGCAGACACAGATTTTAACAGAACCAAAGTCTGCAGTACTTGGAACTGAATTCTGAACACACAAGCAAAGCCGTATTTCTTAAAAAACCCTTCATGCCGATGTGGGAAAAATTAATAATTTTTTTTTTCAAATTCAGGAACGGAACTAATATTTCACCATTCCAAGATTAGCATAATGCCCGCATTCTCCACCATTATATATGTAAGAGACCACCCTATGAAATCAGGACCAGCCCAATTTCTCAAAATAATCTCTCAAGATCTTTGCATTATGAAATCCCAGACACTGATAAAATACCCACTCTGATCATGAATGAGAAATGAAAACTTGTGACCTGAACGTATTTCGAAAATAAAGTAATTTATTTTTAGATATATGAACAGGATTAAACACACAAACATTTATTAAAATATTATATGAATAAATGAACACAAGTTATATTTCCGACATATGAATTCCACCTCAGAGTTGTCATAACAGTAAGTTCCAGGTGTTGTAACTTACTGGCANGAGAGTGGACAGTCTCATGTCAGTTATCTCTGATCGTGGACAGTCTCTTGTCAGTTAACTTTGAGAGTGGACAGTCTCATGTCAGTTATCTCTGAGCGTGTACAGTCTCATGTCAGTTATCTCTGACCGTGTCTGTCTCCATCGTTCTGCTGTGGTTCTGTTTCTGCTTCATCATCTTTCAACTAAAAGCTCAGAGACCCAATAACTTCCCACCAGGATCCTCCATCCTGCTGGTACTGGGGAATTTCTTGCACCTGCCTCAAAGAACCCCCTGAAGGACATTGAGAATAATTATTTTTAATATATCATTTCAAGATAAAATGGTATTGTAAGAGACCACCCTATGAAATTAGGACCAGCCCAATTTCTCAAAATAATCTCTCAAGATCTTTTCATTATGAAATCCCAGACACTGATAAAATACCCACTCTGATCATGAATGAGAAATGAAAACTTGTGACCTGAACRTATTTCCAAAATAAAGTAATTTATTTTTAGATATATGAACAGGATTAAACACACAAACATTTATTAAAATATTATATGAATRAATGAACACAAGTTATATTTCCGACATATGAATTCCACCTCAGAGTTGTCATAACAGTAAGTTCCAGGTGTTGTAACTTACTGGCACGCTACTTAACTAAGTTTTAAGTAAAAAGAGAATAAAGATAGTAAAGATTTATAGCTTTAAGGATAGGAGGAAAAGAAATTAGTGAATTTAGCACTTGTTTCCCATAAATCAAGACCAGACCAGCACCACAGCATGTCAGAGACGAGACACCTCCGTGGCTAGACTTCACTTCTTTGGTTTTATCTCAGCAAACATTGTTCTACCTTTAGATGTCTTCAGACAGAGCCGAACCGGCAGGCAGGTAGAAGGGTTTGAGAGTGTCCGCATCATGAAGTCCGCAGGGTGGATGATGTCTGTGATGACAGCAGGGGGTTTGAGACGACCCTCGTCTCACCCCTAACGAGCCTCAGTGGCTCCCGGCGCGGTCTYAGTACAGTGCTTCTCGGCAGTTAGTAACATCCATCCAGGTGCCCAGAGACGGACACGACTCCTCAGAGAGACCCCGTCAGAACCATGCTCACTCCGACGAACAGACAAAAACGAGTGTCAACGGTGAGAACAGAAAGTTAGTTCTTTGAGAGAAAAAAGAGCGAGAAGATAAACATTCTGTTTTTCTCACACTGGCGCGGCCAGCTGTGGGGTTGTTATCTGCAAAGGACCTTGAAAGTCTGGAAAGACAGACTAACTGTCGTCTTAAAAATCACTTCACTAAGGTTATAYATCACATCCACCAATTTGCACAAATGGATTAATAGTAAAATTAATAGTACACAACAATTAATCATTAAACCAATTAAGAAAAATGATAAAACCATGATTAATAAACCAGTACTAAGAAAAAACAGTAAAACACATTTCAACTCTTTTTTTCTTCACAGTGTTAATCTCTGGAATAAAGAGAGATGTGCAAAGATTAATTCAATAAAACTTTGAGTAATGATATATTGATTATAACCTCTAATAGAAGATTAAATGAAGAAAACATATAGAACATATTGTCCAATCACTTAAAGAAAATAGAAACAAACTTTAAAATG